GTGATACTGCTTTTTCAATGTATACATGTGTAAGATCTCTACATTGTACAGCTTAAACTTATACAACGTCATATGTCTATTGTATCTCAATAATGCTGGAAACAAAAATGTTGGGACTCTGATTTCAAAGTCATTCCCTGTGCCATGTTACAGTGAGAAACTACAAAAGAGCTTATAGTAATTTATAAGCTCCAGTGTTTATAGAAAGAATATTATATACCTATAAACAAAGTAAGGCATTGTTACTTTGTGAAATAAGGTAATATAGTGGGAAGGATCCTTAGATATCACCTATCTCCTTTATCTTACAGACACTGAGGCCTGCGAGATTCAAGTGTATTTATTGCTTAAGAGAATACACCAAAGAGAGATGTACAGCATAGAATGTAGAGGCGGACATGCCTGGTTTGAGGCCCAGTTCTACCAGTTACCATTTTGTGACCATAGGGCTGAGGAAGGAAGACCTTGTGGAGATGAAGGGCTGACTCATATAGAGTGAGCAGAGTTCGCCAGATGGTATAGGGGTTCAGAACAGGCCGTCCCAAAATGCACCACTTTGGCATGTGAATTATTTTGAATAGATGGCAGACTCACGAGAAACTTTCACCTCTCCCTTAAAGAATTTAAATTAGGGGCCTCGCTCTTAAGTGTTGTCACTGGAAATAACTTTTTACGACCTATTTATAGGGCAGGGCAAGCTTCTAATTTCTAAACATCTGCTCCTCTCATCACCCTGCAATGACCCTTTGAAGCCCCCAAGGCCCCTTAGCTCATTCTTAGCTCAGAATGCCATATATACCTCATTTTAACTTTCCATCCCTGAATCTCTCATTGTGTGTGGGGTCTCTTACTTGCTCATGTCTGTGGGGTTCCCATTCATATATATGTAATTAAATTTGGTCATCTTCTTTTGTTAATGTGTTTCACGTCTATTTAATTAGTAGACCAGCTAAAAGAACCTGGAGAGTAGAGGTAAGTTTCTTCCACCCCCACAGTGGGTAGGCATTCCAGACAGAGGAAATGAGGGTGTGTCCAAAGAGAGAGCTATGAGAGGGACAGAGCCCTTCATGGAGGAGTGGATGCAGGTGCATGTAGCTGGAGCACATAGTGCTCATGAGGGAGAGAAGTAAAGATAGGGATGTTGGAGGGAGGAGGAGTTGCCCTGCCTCCGGGAGAGACAACTCTACCAGTGGGGGTGGCAACTTCATTGCCAGATTTTTTTTTCTTGCTATTTTACTATTACTTGGTATCAATAATATACCCAAAGAGGTGGGACTGATGTGGCTTCATGGATTGGGTGTCATTCTGCAAACCAGAAGTATGTGGGTTTGATTCCCAGTTAGGTCTCATGCCTGGGCTACGGGCCAGATCCCCAGTTGCGGGTGCGTGAGAGGCAACCAATCAATGTTTCTCTCAAATATTGATTTTTCTCTCCCTTTGTTTCTCCCTCCCTTCCCATCTCTCTAAATATAAGTAAATAAAATCTTTAAATATATACACCCAAAGAAGGTTGGGTTGCTACAAACTCTAGGGAATGTGTCTTTGTAAGCAGGGTCTCCCATACTTTGCAGTCTAAGAAGGAAGACCAGGCAGAGCCTGGGGTCTTGCTGGTACCCTGGAGCCCCTTCTACTTCCCCCGTGAGCTGTGTTCTCTGCAGCCCAATGTCCAGCAAGGCTGTCTTGGGCAAAAAAGCTCTGGGTGTGGTTAGAAGATATTAATAATAGCTATCATTTCTATCTACCTGGCATTATTCTAACTGCTGAATGTACTGATTTATTTAATCCCCACAAAAACCTTATGCAGTAAGCACCACCATATTTTTATTTTCTCAATTTTCAAAAGTTTTTTTAAAGGAAGTATTGCATATATATAAAAAACTATATGTAAATGTACAGTTTAACAAATTTTCATACATATAACTAGCACTCAGAGCAAAAGAAAGAAAATTACTAGCACCTAAAAGGCCCCTCGAGGCCCTGTATAGTCACTAGTCTTCCCTACTCCTCAAAGCAGGAGACCCCTAACCTCCTGCCCATGGACTTGTACTGATCTGGGCTTGTTGGGAACTGAACTGAACTGCACAGCAGGAGGTGAGCTTGAATGTAATGCCCTTGAATTATCCCAAAGCCATCTGTCCCACCTGGGCCCATGGAAAAATTGTCTTCCACGAAAACTGCCCCTAGTGCCAAAAGGGTTGGAGATTGCTGCCCCAAAGCAACTACTATCTTTGCTTCTGAAGGCAGAGATTAGTTTTCTTGTCTCATAATTATTTGTGTACAGCTTCTTTACTTACATTTCTTTGCATGTAGTTATAGCTCTGTTCATTCTCTTATTGCTATGTAATATCTTCAATCTTTTATTTTGAAATATTTTAATTTTGAGCCCCAGAAAAGTTGAAAAACTAGTACAATTAACACCCAAATACCCTTTACGGAGAACATGAAGGAATACTATTACCGTATTTTGCCGTGTATAATGCGCACTTTTTGCCCAAAATTTTTAGGGAAAAATAAGGATGCGCATTATACATGGGTAGATATTCTGTATCTATGTAAGTGTTTTTAATTCTTTTATTTATTTGCTTCTGTGTTAAAAGTGTAGCTCTAGAAAGCAATATCAATATCTGAATGCAAAATAATACCCTGGAATATGATACTTGGCTTTGTTTCTAAATATAAATAAATAAGTTATTGAATTTTTTTTTAATGTAAGACTTTTCTTCCTGAAAGTTTGGGCTAAAACCGTGGGTGCACATTATATGCAACAAAATACAGTACATATTTCTATTTTATAGATGAGGGAACTAAGGGAAATAGAATTTCTCTAAGGGTAACCAGCCCTGGTCATGCCTCTGGAATCTAGTCAGCCTAGTTCCTGCTAAGTCAGTCATAAAACTGTAGATAAGTTCTGTAACTTTTCTGAGGCTGTTTCTTCATTGTTAAGATGGAGTGATAACCCCATTTCATTGAGTTTCCAGGCTGTTGTGAGGTTCAAATCTGAGAAACATGCAAAAATGCTTTGTGAAGAATAAAAAGTGGTGGTACCCCAAAGACGTACTGTTAAAAATGCAGGTTCATCTGGGCCTCACCCCTGTAGATCCTGATTTCAGTACATCTGGGATAGAAAGCAGAATGTTTAACAGATGCGTAAAGGACACTGGCAAAGTGAAAGGGGGGTGGGATTGAGGGTAGGAGGTGGGGGGGGAGAGTGGAGGGAAAATGTTAAGAACTGTACTTGAACAACAATAAAAAAACAAAACAAGAACAACAAAAAACATGCTAGATGATTTTGATGGACTAGTTCCCCAACCAAACTATGGAAAAGCACTTCAGTAAAACAATGGTTCTCAAAATAACCTGGAGGATTTAGGTATTGTTCTTGCCACTAGCTCTACCTTCTCACAGACTCAGGAAGACGAGAGTCGCATGTGCCGAATTTGGTGCTTCATCCTCTGTGAGATTAGAGAATCTCTCCTCAATATTAGTTCCTGGAGCCCTCTTCTTAACAGATGTAAGTAATAGAAAAAGAAAAGGAAGTTGCTTATTTTTCAAGAGGACAAATGACTCACAGGTTTTTTTTTTTTTAAGGGGAAGATGGAGGCATTTGTAGGCAAAAGGGCAAGTCTTCTCTTGCAAAATAAGAGGTCAGATTAGTGAAAAGTAAAAAAAACAAAATCATCATTACTAAAAAATTTGCACATTCCTGTGTAATTAATGATAGATACACCAAATACCTGCTTAGAGCACCAACAAAGCCAGAACGCCAAAAACAAAAGAAAAAAAAGTAATAATTTCATTGTTTAAAGCATTGAGGCTGTCATCGTGGTGGAGGGTGGGGACATTTCTGGGCTTCCTAACATTTATAGTTTAGCATTGTATTTTATCTTGAATTACATGGTGGGGGGGGGAGGGTGGAGAAATGCCATAACTGTTTTTCCCTGCTGAGGGCTAGTAGACTGTAGATGTATTCACTTGTATAAGGGACACATTTTTAATGATTCAGTTTGGAGCTTTAAATATGATAAACAATATCCAGGTGCATGCAACATTAGTTAAGTAACTGAGGAGAATGCCTTTGAGGGCTTTTGAGAATGACACACAAAACAGGTGCTCCGCCTGGGCGCTTCCCTTAGCTCTGCGTTCTGGAGGCGGAGGACCTGGCGACCACCTCAAGCGCCAGGGAGACTCCCGGGAGGCCGAGGCCCAGGCCCAGGCCCAGGCCCAGGCCCGCGGCCCTGTCATCTGGAGAGTCCCCTGCCACTCATTGGCGAGAAGTCCACGGAACACCTACTCAGATCCGGGCGGTTGCTCAGCCTGTTTGCTAAAATAATAAGGTCGAAGTTGAGAATTCTACACAAGAAAACAAAAAACAAAAACAAAAAAACAGATGTTGGTTTGTTTCTTCAAAAATAAACCAATGCGTAGCTCACGACTTTAAAAACAATTAGTCATCTCGCATAATAAGCTTAGGCAGCTCTCAGCCCGAAGTGTATCGCTGAGAAAAAAACGTGGTATCGACACAAGGTATGAATACCTCGTGGATCCCTTTCAAACATTTCTGATTCAACTTTAAAATAGGAATATGTATGAAGAATAGACTTCAAAGTCAAAAGAGCAGTGAAACAAATCTCTATAGGTCCGCCATCGGGTTAGAATTTTACAAAGCTTTACAAGTTATTTGATAAAAATAAGTATAGAATCATTGTTTCCATTTTTAAAAACAGTTCTATTCTGAGCAATTCTACGCCGCCGTTTGCAGAAACCCGAAAGCCCGCCTGGGCACCGGCTTCATTTTTGCCACAAGCTTCCCAGGATCCCAAACTCAGGCAGAGACCCCAAGTCAGGCAGAAGGAGCCTCACTCACACAACCGGTTGTCAGGGGGAAGGTGCCAAGGGCAACTTTCGGCCCCGTGACCTAGGCGTTCCGGGTCCCAGGCCACTGTCACGTGCTGTGAGGGGCGGGGCGGGCCGGAGTATATACCCAGGTCCGCGGGCCTGGCTGGTGGAGCGCAGTGGGTGTTGCTGGAGCTGGGTGTGCGGGACTCGCTGGATCTTCGCCCCTGGGCTGCCGTCGGTCGGTGAGTACGCGCCCTCTCTGTGCCCAGCGAGCTGGCCCGGTCCCCGGCGGAACTCTGGACAGGTCGGCGTAGGGTGGAGGCCGGTGGGGTGTGCCCGTCGCCGTGCCCTGCTGGGAAGGGGCGGTCCTGGGCCTGCGCCTTCGACACTTGCTTTTGGTAGTTGAGCCTTCTTTTCTGCAAGCTGCTCTAGTGCCGTTGTAGCTTCTTGGCTTGGTTGCGGGGTAACGTTTTTCATTTGTCCCGTAAGAACGTGATTTAAAAGCAGATGCGTTAGAATATCGTCTTAACGCGGAATTTTATGGGGTACGCAGTGACAGCAGAGTAATCGATGCTAGCGCCTGGCTTCCCCTTCAGCGCCGTTCTTTCTCTTTTCTGGTAGAAGTGGGACTCGGGGTGGCCAGACGGTGAACTGATTGGCCCAGTAGTACTGGCCCTCGGCCTGTGCTGGTACTTGTTAACTTCCCAGCTCTGTTGCTAGGCAGTGAGGCCATTTTGTGTTGGTGTGGGTCGCTGGGCCCACGAAAAGCCGCCCTGAACTGTTTCTCAATTCCCGGGAGCACCTCCTTCCTCCTGTGCTTAATGACTATCAAACTAGTTCCTTTGACGAAGAAGAAATAAGCCCCTCCCCGCCTCTTCCCCGCTACGTGCTCCAACTCAGCAATCCTGACTGTCCAAGATGTCTTCTGGTTGAAATCTCTCTTTAGTTTTAACATGGATTTTAACTTGGTTAGCATTTTTGTGAACAGATGTTCCCCTTCAAAAGGCATTTCTAGTATCTTGGTGAAGAAACAAGACAAAAGTATCAGCAACTCTGTTTACTCTTGGAAGTTTACACAGGAGCTCTGAAACTGCCTGAGGTGTTGTGTTAGCCTTGGGGAGAGGTCTCAGAGCTGGAGGGTGGGAAAAAGTGCAGAAGACTACACTTAATATCATCTTGAATTTTAATCTACTTGAAATTAGCATTTGCTCAGTTTGGGGAATGAATCTGGAAGTCTTATTCTAGTGGAATAAAACTCTCACTGGAAGTCTTACGAAATAAATTTCTCTTCCACAGCTTTCTTTCTCCAGGAAGAAAAATGGTATCTGCTGCAGTTGATCCACAGCCGGTATGAATTTTAAATAGCTGTTTCTTGATTCCTTTCCCTCCCCAAGTGTTTTTGAGAAGTTAATTCCCTCTCCTTTATGGTTTCAGAGTGTGGTGACTAGGGTTGCCAACCTACCCTTGGTAAGCACCACATATGACCTTGTCTCCTCGGCTTACGTCACCACGAAGGATCAATATCCTTACCTGAAGTCTGTGTGTGAGATTGCAGAGAAGGGTGTGAAGACCATCACATCGGTGGCTGTGATGAGCGCTCTGCCCATCATCCAGAAGCTAGAGCCACAAAGTGAGTTCTGATTCCCCGTCAAGATTTAATTCAAGGGACCTGTTAGGAGTGAGCCTGGAACTGGTTTGAATATGGTGAATGCCAGACTAGTGCCCTGAGCACACAGTGGCAGCGTCAGGGAATCTTCAGCCTTTCCTGAGGCACATCCTGCCTTTGTGTAGAAACTGCTGGGTGACTCTCGTTGTTATAGAAGGCCTGCTTCATAGCAATGGTAGATATTCATGATAACGTATTAAAAATCCTCCGTGGATGCTTCTATGTTGGCAGCTGAAGTCGCAAGGCGACGCAGAGTATAAACTGAAATTGACTTCTTTGGGACCACACAGTGTACATGAACTGCTTTAAAAATAAATGATAACATCTTACTGGGATACAGTTAACACACCATATAATTCACAAACTTAATGTGTACAAGTCACTTATTTTTTAAAGTATATTCAGAGCTGTGCAGGCACCACTACAATCAATTTTAAAACATTATTATCACCCTAAAAAGAAACAATACCACTTTCTGTTTGGATGATGAGAAAGTTCTGGGAATGACATGGGTGATAGTTGCACAACATATGAGTACTTCATTCCTTTTTACGGTGGAATAATATTCTGTTGTGTGGTTAGATCAAATTTTATTTATAGTTGATTGACATTTGGGGCTTTATGGTGATAAGAATTATGAGTGATAGTGTGAACATTTGTGTATAAGTTTTTGTGTGGACACATGTTCTAAGTTCTTGTGTTCACTAGAAGTGGAATTGCTGGGTCATATAATTACTGTTTCAGCTCTTGAGGAATTACTAGACTGTTTTCCAAAGTGGCTTATCATTTTACATTCCCACTAGCAGTGAGTGTATCAAGGTTTTCTATCTGAGCCCTTTTGAATGAAGGTTTAAATCAGTCCTGCAAATGGTTAAGTCATGGACTTTTCTGGAGTAAAAGGAACCTTTAGAGACCAGTTTTTCAGCTCTGCTACTTCCCAGATGAATTTAGGACTAGTGCTTGGCTTGGTCATCATTAGGGGGAAGCTTGGACTAAAATGTAGGCCTTGTTAGGGAGATCCAGGGTTATGTTGCCACATATTGAATTAAGTTTTGGTAGGGGGTTGAACTAGCATGAAAATGCTAATTTTGAGAGTTCTCAGATACCTTATTCCCTGAATGAGGGTTCAGGTTAAGCCTGGCTTCTCTTCCCATTAAGTTTAGGAGCCAATGAATGAGGAAGAACCTTCTTAGCCAGCTTCCTACCTGGCTTGTCACTCCTCCTGCCTGCTGCACGCACCCCCATCTCCTCATTTCCTTGTCAGAAGAAACATTGCCAGCAACCTGCTGAGCCTCTTCCTGTCTGAGCTAGAGAAACTAGGCAATGCACAGTGTGATAAATGAAGGTCAGCGTTTTTAAGGTATGATAATATGTATTCATCTTATACCTACACTGTTAACATTTTCCCCATTTGTGATTCTTCTAGTTGCTATTGCCAATACCTATGCCTGTATGGGACTGGACAGGATTGAGGAGAAACTGCCTATTCTGAATCAGCCAACAAATCAGGTGATCTTGGGATAAGAAGGCTGAGGCTTCCCATCTCATGTATTTTCATGTTCTGTCTCCTTAGCCTAGCTGGTTCTCATGTGGTGTTTGGTAAATGCAGAGATGGTGTATAGAACCTTTCTCACTTGGTGTCTGAGAGCACATCCAGTAAGATGAAGGAACAGACACATCTACCTGCAACATCTTGATAGATTTTATATGTTTACCTCATTTGCTACTCCCAACAACCCTTGAGTGGTGGCAGGTATGGCAGATATACCTGATGAGGCTCATCAGTTCTTGGTGACTTGCCCAAGACCTAAAGCTAGAGAGTGAAAGGGACCGATTCCTTCTTTAACTCTTCAACTGTGCTGCTTTAGTTAAGATTTTCAATATGTATTTATGCCCTTGTTTCTCTCTAGTGAAGTGATCTATTTTTCTACTTGTAGGTGGTTGCCAACGCCAAAGGTGCTGTGACTGGGGCGAAAGATGCTGTGACTACAACTGTTACTGGGGCCAAGGATTCTGTGGCCAGCACGATCACTGGGGTGATGGACAAGACCAAGGGAGCAGTGACTGGCAGTGTGGAAAAGACCAAGTCCGTGGTCAACGACAGCATTAACACAGTCATGGGGAGTCGGATGATGCAGCTGGTGAGCAGTGGGGTAGAAAATGCGCTCACCACATCAGAGCTGCTGGTAGACCAGTACCTCCCTCTCACTGAGGAAGAACTAGGTAAGTGGATTTTTGTCTTGAAATAATGTTGCGTATCTTAAGTCAGTCTTTTAAATTATATACCCCAAAATTCACCTTTTTCATACTAAATATTGCAGTTTAGCCATCATCTCAGCCATCATCTCAGTTAAGTTTGGGAACATTTCCATCACCCTAAAAGATCCTTCATGCCTGAATATCCATTATCTCCCTCAGATAACCACTTACCTTTCTGTCTTCATTGATTTCCATTTAAAAAAATATATATTGTATTATTTATGCTATTACAGTTGTCCCATTCCCCCCTTCATTCTCCTCTCCCCTGCACACCTCCTCCCACCCACAATCCCCCCCTTTAGTTCATGTCCATGTGTCATAAGTTCTTTAGCTTCTTCATTTCCTAAACTATTCTTGCCCTCCCCCTGTCTATTTTCTACCTACCATCTATGCTGCTTATTCTCTGTACCTTCTCCCCCCATCTCCTCCTCCCACTCCCCTGTTGCTAATCCTCCGTGTGATCTCCATTTCTGTAGTTTTGTTCTTGTTCTAGTTGTTTGCTTAGTTTCTGTTTTTGTTTTAGGTGTGGTTGTTATTGTGACTTGTTATTGTGAGTAATTGTGAGTTGTTATTGTGAGTAATTGTGAGTTTGCTGTCATTTTACTGTACAAGTTTTTAATTTTTTTTTCTTAGATAAGTTCCTTTAACATTTCCTATAATAAGGGCTTGGTGATGATGAACTACTTGAACTTGACCTTAGCTGAGAAGCACTTTATCTTCTCTTCTATTCTAAGTGAAAGCTTTGCTGGATAGAGCAATCTTGGATGTAGGTCTTTGGATTTCATGACTTGGAATACTTCTTTCCAGCCCCTTCTTGCCTGTAAGGTCTCTTTTGAGAAATCCGCTGACAGTCTGATGGGAACTCCTTTGTAGGTGACAAGTTTTCCACTTGTTGCTCTTCCTCTTCCCCTTCTGGTACCTCTATAATTTGGATGTTGGAACATTTAAAGATGTCCTGGAGGTTCCTAAGCCTCTCCTCATTTTTTTTTCATTCTTGTTTCTTCCTTCTTTTCTTTTTGGCTGTTTCTTTCTTCCTCTGGTCCACTCCATTGATTTGAGTCTTAGTTTGCTTCCCATCTTCCTTCATTTCACTTAGCATAGCCTTCATTTTTCTCATCTAATTTGTGGCTAAAATCAGCCAGTTCTGTGAGCATCCTGATCACCAGTGCTTTAAACTGTGCATCTGATAGGTTGGCTATCTGTTCATCACTTAGTTGTGTTTGCTGTGGAGCTTTGATCTGTTCTTCCATTTGGGCCTTTTTTTTTTTTTTTTGGGGGGGGGTCTTGACATGTCTGTTACATATGAGGGGCAGAGCCTTAGGTGTTCAGCAGGGCAGGACAACCCAGTTGCTGGGTTGTGACACTGTATGTGAACGTGGGGTCTGGGAGGGAACAATGGTGCTTGCTCTGCTCTCTGTCGGATCTCAGTCCCCTCCACTGCTTCCCCTAAGCAACCTGGGCCTTTCTGGTGCTAATTCCCATGTGGTCGAGCTTGTGTACATTCTAGGACCCAGTGGGTCTCTCCAACAAATTCTCCTGTCAGGCTGAGAGTCTCTCCCTGTGCCTCAACCCCCACAGGCATTTTCAGTTAGTGTTTTGAGGCTTTATTTACCCACACTGGGACCCTGGGTTGCGCGGTTTGTCTTGCTCCTCGATTTTACCTGGTGTGTCTGCATGTGATAGAGATGTAGGACCACACAGTCAGCCGACCAGTGCGCAGTGCCTCGCTTCACAATCGCCGCCTTGCTGGGTCTGCCCATTGCCATCCCGTGCCTGGGGTCTGCCTGCTGCCATCTTGTGTGCTTGAGGTGCCACTGCTTTTTGTACTATGACCGCTCTCTGTCAGGCTGCCCTACTCGGCCCCGCTTACCAGTCTGGGTGAATGTGTCTATTTTATGTTCTTGGTTGTCTGACTTCCATAGAGTTCAATTTTCTCTTGAAAATTGTTGTCCTTATTTTGGTCATAAGAGGAGACACAGTGTGTCTACCTACACCTCCATCTTGGTCGGAAGTCTGATTTCCTTTCTTAAAGCAATCTTAAGTTTCACATTGAATTGTACATAGTAAGTATTGAAATTTTAGGAGAAATTAGCCTAGAGAAATATTTTCTACAAATAGTCTTTAATGGAGTGCTTTAATGGAGTGCTTTGCAGAATCATTGAACATTTAGTGGCTACTATATGCCAGGTACTGTGTTGTTGCCCAAGAAGCTTGCTCTAGTGGGAGGAGATGTGTGTAGATAAACCTATAAGATGCAATTGTAAGTGCTGGGTAGTCAAGCCCAGCAGTAGACATGAGCTGTCTTGGGAAAATGAGTGTATACTTGCTAGGTGGGTTAGTAGAATCAACAAATTCAAGATCCAGATTAGAGTCCAGGCCTTGTCACTTACAGCTTTGACCTCTTATGGTTTTTCTTCCTTCTTTCTAACTTTAGAAAAAGAAGCAAAAAAAGTTGAAGGATTTGATACTGTTCAGAAGCCAAGTTATTATATTAGGCTGGGATCTCTGTCTACCAAGCTCCGTTCACGTGCCTACCAGCAGGCTCTCAGCAGGGTGAAAGAAACTAAGCAAAAAAGCCAAGAGACCATTTCTCAACTCCATTCCACTGTTAAACTGGTGAGTAGAAGTTCATTTAAAGATATCTGAAGTAAGTTCATTTATCTCAAGGGATGAAAGTGAATGTAATCACGAGATTCAGGAATTTTTAACTTTGAACAAACCAATGGGAAAATGGGTGAAGAGTATACAGACAACAACTCACAGAAAAGGAAGTATAAATAGCTGAAATATATGAAGTGCTGTTAATCTTACCCTGAGGGGTCAAATTACAGTGACCCTCTCTTCCTAACACACTGGCAAAGTGTGATGCTGTGGGCAATGATATAGAGAAAGAGGTGTACTTGTGGACTTCTGGAAGATTTTAGGGATGGTTCTAGGGAAATTATAAACACACCTGTGCCCCAGCACTTACTTTCAGAAATTTTTCCCACAGGTATGTATGTTTGTTTAGAGTTGGAAAAGACTATAAACAATGCATGCCAACTAATAGGCAATTAATTAAATTGTTACATCACAAAAGACGATTGTGTGGCTATTAAAGATTGCCAAGTTACGGAATAGTATGTACTGTACTGCCATTCTTGGAAAGAAAAATGGGCAGCTGCCACAGGGAAGAGGAAGTTTGAATTCCTTTCTCCTTTGTATTTTTTTCTTTTACGCTGGAGGTAAACTGGGGGTAAGTTTGGAGACAGTAGTTTATAAAGAAATAGAGACAGCGAAGAACTATGATTACTTAATAATAAATAACAATGATGGCAGGTATTGCTGTCCTTCAACTCCTCTGGATATTCTTGGTTTTTATGTTGTGTGATTTTCATCATAGATCTTAGAACAGGCTGACATGAATGTCTGACCAGTTCCTTTGTGTTATTTCAATGCACTCTAGATTGAATTTGCCAGGCAGAATGTGCATAGTGCCAACCAGAGAATTCAGAATGCTCAGGACAAGCTCTATCTGTCCTGGGTGGAGTGGAAGAGAAGCGTCGGCTATGATGATACCGATGAGTCCCACTGCGCTGAGGTAAGACAAATGGGATGTACTCATCCACGGCAGTTCCTGAAGAGGTTCTACCAGACTTTTATTTCAGTGTTCCCGTTTGAATAGAAAAGCAAAGTTATGTGACAGAAAAGCCAAGTGGTGCAGTAACTTTGATAACCTGCAGATATGCATATTGCCCCTAAGGTATACAGCTAAATGTGAAACGTGGGCCTTGCCCTCAGTGCAGACTAACAGTGGATACAGGCATTTTCACTGTCGTGGTGTCTTTTGACAGCATAAAACAGGGGCTCTGAGGCTGTATGGGAAAAGTACCTAACTTAGTCTTGGAGTGAGGGTGGGTGAGTCAGGTGACTTCCTGGAAGAGGTGTGTTCATCCGGGACTGAGTGGGAAAATAAACCAGGTGAAAGGGCACTAAGGGGATGAATGTTCCAGATAGAAGAAATAGCATGGCGTAGTCCTAAAAAGTGGTTTTTTAGGTTCCAGAAGCTAGTATGCATATCTCTGAAATGTGAATAAAAATATGCTGCTACACTCAGGATTGTGATGAGAATTTTAAAAAATTGAGGAATCCACATATGTGGTGAACACATAACTAGCATACTGTAATTGAACTTCATGCATGGTGTTGTTGGGTTCACTACTAATTTTAAATTTGTTTTATTTTTAGCACATTGAGTCACGTACTCTTGCTATTGCCCGAAACCTGACTCAGCAGCTGCAGACCACGTGCTCCACTCTCCTGTCCAACATCCAAGGGTTACCACAAAATATCCAAGATCAGACCAGTCACTTGGGGGTGATGGCTGGAGACATCTACTCAGTGTTCCGCAATGCCGCATCCTTTAAAGAAGTGTCTGATGGCTTCCTCACTTCTAGCAAGGGACAGCTGCAGAAAATGAAAGAGTCTTTAGATGATGTGATGGATTATCTTGTTAACAACACACCCCTCAACTGGCTGGTAGGTCCCTTTTATCCTCAGATAACAGAGTCTCAGAAAACTCAGGACCGAGGTGCACGGAAGGGCACAACCAGCCAGAAAGCCTACCAACCTGAGCGCAAAACACATTAATCTTGACCCTGTCAACCAGTGCATGGTGCAGCCAGCCAGATGACACTTTCTGTTATATTAAAATTAACCCACTAGACAACTCTGAAGTGGGGAAACAGCCAGTTAGAAAAAGTTCCCTTCATTATAGTCATTTCAACTGGATTAAGATCTTTAAAGTTTCTGGCATTAGCAGATGAGCTCTTTTGCTTACCTGGCTGATATGAAAAGAATGATAGACTGGTCGGAGCCTAGTCAGAGGTCATAGAAACTTCCGTTACGTTTATGGTCTCATTCTGTTGCCACTGTTGCTGTCTGTTTGCATTGAATAAAAACACCTTCATGTGGGCTGTTGTATGAAGTGGATCTGCTCCAGTTTGGTCTGAGCAGGCCTCATCACCAGTTTGTCACATGCTGCTTCTTACACAACTTTAGGGCTTTTTGTTTTTGTTTTATTTTGTTTTCTTACAGGAGTGCCCTCTGTGAGTTCAATAAAATTCACTACGGAATAGATCTGTTTTATGCTATATGTTCCATGTGCTTTGTGTGTTGCTTTCTTTGAGCTGCTTGGCCTGCATGACAGGGTTGTTAATAGACACATAAATTCCAGTGGCCTATTAGAGGAAATTTGGCACTATAATAGCATTGGAAGACTAATGTCAACAATGGAATATGTGATGACAGATTTTAAGCAAGTGAAAAGCTAATGTGCGTATTAGAATTTTACTGGGTGACAGTTGCCTTCATTTGCCCATTTAATGGACCCCTTGAGAATGTTTTTAAGCCAGTAGAAGGACCTCCTCATGACTGACTGCCTTGCTGAAAAGGAACCAAAGCTGAAAGTAGGCAAGTGAGTGACTGTTTGCATGAGTCTCACATACAGGCAGAGGGTATTTCTTGCCAATGGGCTGTTTAAACTGTGACCCCTGGACTGACATTGTTGAACGTCCAGTTTCAGCTGGACTGACTGTTGTCATTGACTTTCCAAAAAAATGTCATGTTAAGTAAATTTATGATTTTGCGTTGGGTCACATTCATAGCCATCCTGGGCTGCATGTGGCCCATGGGCTACAGGTTGGATACTCTTTAGAAGATCACATGAGAGTAATCAGAAGGAAAAAGACTGGACCTCTATAAGAAAGGACTCTCTTACTTTCTGCCTAGGGTGTTCAGACTTCTAGTCCCTTCGCTGTTGATCAACTACTTAGGAAATATAAATCTTATAAAAAAGCTGCAGGGTGCCAAACTGTTTCCAAGAAAGTCAGAGAATTTGTGAGCTAGAACTACATGTCCCTGCCTGTCCTTACTATAAGGTTAGCAGGGCTGCCCTTCAACAGAACCGAAGTTGAAATCAAATTTGTCTCCTCTTTCTATCCTGGTTCACCTCTTCCCATGAAAACAAGGAAGCGGTACAAAACTTTATATGCACTGGTGTGAATGAGTCTATCGAAACTGAGTTACAAAGCTAAATCTGTTTCCCCTTGAGGTAAACAGGTGAGTTGAATTGAAGGGTAGGTTTTGAGAACCTAAGGAGCTTCTGGTTTCTGGGAAGATGGGACTCTCATGATTTATGGGCTTCAGGAATAGGCCCTATCCATTCACTTGCCTGTCTGCCCCCAATGACATTTTTTAGAGCCTCTAAATTTTTTAAAACATTTATCATCAGTTATTTGTGGAATTACTTTTTTAAAGATTTTATTTATTTTTAGAGAGGGGAAGGGAGGGAGAAAGAGGAGTGAAACATCAATTTGTAGTTGCCTGTCCTGGGCCCCCTATTGGGGACCTGGCCTGCAACCCAGGCGTGTGCCCTGCCTGGGAATCAAACTGGCAACAATTGGGTTTGCAGGCCTACACTTAATTCACTGAGCTACACCAACCCGGGCCTCTAAATTTTTAGTTTCAATTGAACATGACCTTTGCCTCAAAACTCCAAGGCTGACATTTTGTGGTTTAGTCTAATTGATTGAAAAATTCATGTGCTATAGTTTCTTATCTGAACAGTCTTGCATTTTCCCATCATACGAGATAGTGCCAACTAAATTGCTTGTGAAAAGGAGACATTTCAAAGCTGTTCTTTATGAGTAAGGAATATGAAGGAGACCTCTGAGCTTCTAGAAGAATACCACTAGCCCTTGCTTTTCACCATGAACTGTGCACACTTGTGGTTTTGGCTTTGTGTCTCAAGTCTGACTGTGCCTCAGCATATTTCATTCTATTGTCGACATGTCTCAAAATTTCTGGTGTTCTTGCATCTTAACCTTTATTGTATAAACTGGCAGTTGTAGTTTAACAGACTTTTCCCCAAGGAGAACAATTCTTTTGAGGGGGAAAAAGCTAGGCCTACCACAATAACTATGGCAGATTTTAAATATTTAGCAGCATGAAGCCTGTCATGATGTGCCTGAATGTTCAAGGATGTGTTTTCCTTTGCATGTAATAATAATAAGGACTTAATGGTTTATTCTGGATGGAAAAAAGGAACATTTATATCTTAGCCTCAGTTTTCCATCTGTCATAAAATTAGCGATGCCTCAACAGATGGAAGTGAAGTGTCTGAGGATGGGCTCTCTGTTTTTGCATGAGTGACAAGGGGACAACGTCTATGGGACAATGGCATGTAATTAATTTGCTAGTTCAGGTGTGAGCATATACTCTAAGATCATGATTAGTAAAATATTTTCACTTTGTTAAGGCATTATAGGTATAGGAAAACTGAAAACATTAGAAGGGAAAAAAGTTTGGTTTGCCTGAGATACCTATTTTACAGTATCATTTAACTCATGGAGGTGGTAGTGAGGGGAGGAGGAACAAGGAGCAGGGTAGATATTTGTGTGTATATCTATCAGGTGTGAAGGGATGGAAAGGAGAGCGTCTTGCCAGCCTCATGGACTTGGACTGGGGCCTCATGGACTTGGACTGGGTCAGCTGGGCCTTGTCCTGATCCAGTTTCAGGAGTGACTCACCACTGAGGCTCTCATGGGTGTCAGTCATGTGAAATGTCCCTGCTGTATAAGCTAAAGTATTTATAGGTTGTGCCAAGTGTTTATAGCTTGTATCTTCTTTTTTAGGTTTTATTTATGTAGAGAGGGAGAGACATCGGTGTGTGAGAGTTATATCAATTGGTTGTCTCTTGCATGCCTCCAACTGGGGACCTGGCCTACAAACTCAGCTATGTGCCCTGACTGGGAATCAAACCAGTGACCTTTTGGTTCACAGGCTGACCGGCACTCAATCCACTGAGCCACACCAGCCAGGGCAATAGCTTGTATCTGAAAGGACAACACCTTCATGCTATAGGTGTCCACATTCCCAACTGTTAGCCTACAATATTTCCACAGTAACCATTTGGTAAGGAAAAGATACCGAATCATCCCACTGTTAAGTATTTTAAGTTTTGAGTCTGACCTGTAGCAGACCACTTCATATGAATGATGGAGACCCTGGAAAGGTAATAGCATCAAAGTGTTCAAAGAGAAGAATAAGTGTCTTCAGGCTTAAGGTCAGCGTAAGCCAAAGACATGTTTTATGGTGTCTTCCCTGTTCTCCTTGCTTACCTTTTGAGATTCTGATGCCACTGTCCCATGTGTTATAAGTTACTGATTTTTGTAAGAAATGGTGTCAACTAGACCCTCACTGGGATAGGTCCAGGTCATATATTTCTGGGGCTGGTCAGGGATGAAGCCTTCTTGATCACCATCTAGCTGAGGTGAGCTCAGCTGAGAAGCAAGGGGCAGGGTATTCAGGTGGAAAAGGCTGAAAAGGAAAATCACACCCTCAATTGGTGCTGAGGTGGTGAGAAGCAGGCAGCTTACTGAGTTTGTGAGATAGCTGAATAATACAATACGTCATAAGACTGTCAGTAAGATGAGTAAGTGAAATGATTAGAAGGCAATATGAAAGGCAGATGTTTGGAGGAGGTGGGACATAGTAGCTTGGGATTTTTTCATGCTTAATTTGCTTAAATGGGGCTTACAGATTAGAGGGAAATGGATTATAATATAATAAAAGGCTTTGAATCTCATAGGGGAGACTAGTTTTGATGTAGAATGGACCTTTTAGCTTATGTCTTGGTATTGTTTTTATGAAAGTTCTATTTAAGAGAGCCATATAAAAGATACTAAAACCATGTCATAATATGTGCCTTTTGAGCTAACACTGACAAAATCTATTAATAATTGGTGTACTTATGATTGGAGGTAATGTGAATATGTAGGTAGTTACATTGTCATATCTACTGCATTAAAAATGATTTGATTCAATACCTGAGTTCCTAGCAGTATAAGGAAAGAACTCTGCCCTGCTGAGAATGTAAACACCAGAAACTGTCCTCAAGAGACTTATTAAAGTCTTAGGGGGAAGCTTGTTGATGAATATGCAGGTAATATACCGGTATTATTTATTCATCATTTTTAATGGCCCTGAGTTGCTAATTTTTTAATTTCCTAACTTTATTATAAAATTAACCTGCAAAACATGACATCTCAACATAAATCTGTACAGAGCAACAAATTGAATTTTAAGTTTTATTGACCAAAGTGAAAGAAAACACTAACTTAAGTTATACTCTTCTTAAGAAAGTAGTAAAGAGTATTACTGACATTTTACAAAAGTGATGAACAGATTAAATTGTACTTCTGTGTAAGTATCAGTGATGAAAAACGGTTACTATTTCAATTGTTTTTGATTTCTCTGGAGTATATACTTAGCAGTGGAATTACTTGTGGGTTATATGGTCACTCTATGTTTATCTGAGGAACTGCCAGACTGTTTTCCAAAGTGGCTGCAGCATTTACATTCCCACCATGAGGGTATGAAGGTTCTGATTTCTTTGTATCTTCACCAACACTTGTTATTTAACTTTGTGATTCTAGCTAACCATTTAAATTATAAATGAATAAGCGTTGATGTCGAATAGTGTGAATCAAGCACTTTTTCATTGTCTACTCTATATAGGTTAGAGCAAAGGAAAACTCAGCTAAGGAGTAGCTAATGTATCTATCAGATTGACCCCCTTATATAAAAGTGGCCCAAGTAAGCTCTCAGCATGAATAAAACCACACCATCTTCCCCTGCCCTTTCTGTCTATGCCAGGAATTAACTGGGAAGACTGATAAAATGCAGATTCCTGGGTTCCACTACCTGAGAATCTGATTAGTAGGTTTAGAGGTAGTACCAGGCATCTGCGCTTTTAAAAAGCAGTACCTCCCTCGCCACCCTACCCCCCACCCCTAATCATCCTAGTGATTCTACTGCAGGTGATCCCCTACCCATACTTAGAGAAGCAAAGGAAAGAGGAAACAAATGATATTAACTTGAAACAAAAATAAGGATAGGTTACCTGTAGTCCCTTCTCTCCAAACAAGACCCTCAGTGTAGGCTCCATAAATGTCTTATTTTAAGAACTACTAGTGATGTATCTGCTTAAAGGAATCAAGTACAAAGGAATTAGCACTGACTAGTTGAATGTCGTACAATGGGTACTAAGAATTACTTCAATTTTGTTGTGATACGTG